GAGAGAGAGAGAGAGAGAGAGAGAGAGAAAATAAAAAGAAATTAAAGATATATGACAGGAAATAATTAATTTCTTTTCTTATCATCAAAAAAATGTCAAATATTCTAAATTCTCGAAATTAATCAATTACCATAATAATATTTACCATAATAAAACAGATTTTGATATATGAAAAATATATTTCGGGAATAATGATCCTTGAAATATTAACATAAAACAAAGATAATCTAAGCATTAAAATTCATAGCATAAATTAAATATTGATAATAATTGTAAATGTATCTGGAACAATGTCATTCTAAGATTAAAAAAAATTGCAATGCAATATTGATTTTTCAAAAAATAAAAAATATAATTTAAAAATATCTCTTACTTTGATATTTCTGTAGTTTGGTGACAACTTCAAAGGAAATCCCGTACGAAACTTTCTCTGAAAAAGCACTTCCACTTTCACCTCACGTCTTTCGAAAATAACTCGAAGCACTTCTAAAAATAATTCTTGTTCAAAGTATATATATATATATATATATATATATATAGTATATATCAATAGAAACTATCGAATTCTTCGATCTTCAAGAATTGGAAACAAAAATATTTCGATAGTATAAATAAGAAAATTCTTTTCTACGTATGCACAGCGTCTACATCCAAAGAATTGTCAATACTAAGAGGAAACAAGATCAATCCCTTCGACGCGAGAGTCGGGATAGCACTGGCGCTGCTACCACTGAATGAATCTATAATTGCTTTGTAGAGATACGCGGTGGGGGCAAACACGTGATCCTACTGCGAGTAGTGGGGAAATCGTGGAATACTCGCTGAACATTAAGAATTCTATTTTAGCGATGGCTACAATACGAAAACGAATCAAGATATCGCTAATGTTTTGTTAACAATCAAATAATTAATAATATTGAATTTTAGTTTATTATGTTATATTTTTACATCTTAACGATCATTGCTTAAATAATTTAACATTACGATTGAAGAATCCGAAGTAATTTAATATTACGAATGAAAAATGTATTGAAAATACTAAATATATAAATATGATTAATTATAAATGTGATTTTTAACGTTAGATTTATTATTTTAGTTATTTTGATTACGCAAACCGAAAATAAGATTCAATAGAAGGTATGCTTACATCAGATAAATATTGTGCAACACAAAAAGAAAATTGAACTTCTTTCTTGGAAATGTATTTCTTCGTATAAATTTTTTTAATTTGCAGACAAAACACGATGACAAAAGACAAATGAATTATTGAAAAAAAAATTTACATAAAGATTCTTATATTGTAATGTACTTTATATGAATACTCAATACGCTTACATTGATCTAATAATAGAAACATAAAGTGTAATAAATTATAAAATTTGATTCGTTACGTTTTATTCTATAATAGTATACACAGAAGTAATTTCTTTAATAAAATATTATTATATCGTATCAATCGTACCATATATATATATGTAAATCATTTTAAATTAGATGCAATTATTGTACAAGAGGAAATAACATATATTAACGGTGAGACCGTTAAAGCTATCGCTATCGCATGCGCGACAGAGCACATGGCTCGCGGAAAAATGGATTCCTTTTAACTGGTTTACGTGCGATCTCGTCTGCGCTATCGCGTCATCGTTCTCGCTTACGAGTTCGTATTTCCGTGGGCTTCTCGACGAAACGTCACGAATTCCGACGATTTGACGCCGTACGATCTTGGCTGCCAATCGATTGCCGCTGCCAGACTAACTACGTACTCCCTCCTCCCTCCCCACCGCACGTACTCGACATTGGCAAACATTTCACGAACTGTTATACGGTCAGAAGTTTCTTTTCTAACGAAATCGATTTCGATAAAAATTTATAATTTTTGCAAAATCATATTTCTTGAAAAATGTATCAATTTTTTTTAATTATATATATATATATATATGTATGTATATACGCATAACGTGTTTGTTTATAAACGATTCGTTGGAACGAAATGAAACGAATGAAAATCGTTTCTTTCAAATTGAATAAAACATATGTATATTTATATGGAAAAATTCTTTTTTTCAATAACGAATTGACTTTTTATAAATAACACGTGTCAATGATATTCAACGATTAATTCAAGTGTTTTATGCATGCAACGATGTCGAGGATAATTTTAATTGACTTCCGAGGAAAGCAGTGTGTTATATACATTTTTGGTTTATTCACATTTTTATCGTGTATTACATCAAAACAAAATACATATATAAAAATAGATTCACTAGACATAAGAAATATATAGAATATTTTTGCGAGGTATAAATAACACGTTATATTAAGATACTTTGGTTTATCTTCGTGTACGAATTTTATTCATTCTTTTTTAATTTCTTTTTTCTTTTCGCATTAGATCTGTGTGAATATCTAGAAAAAATAAAAAAAAAATGAAATAATAATTGTATCTTGACGATTAATGCA